ATATTAGTGACAAAGATAATTACAAATTGTTGGACGCATATGTTCCTCCTCCACCAACTCCAACAACCATCATTAGTACGACTACTGTTACAAGCAGTCCTAGTCAATCACCACCCGAAAATCCTAATGATCCAAATAATAAAGTGGCTGTAATAATTGGATCAGTCACAGCTATAGTGTTTACCATCATTTTGATTGCCATGCTTATTTTATTTGTAAAAAGATATAAAAAAAGGAAACATATCGTTAATAATGAAGTTATTGATGAAGATAGCAAAAGTATTGTTAATAATGAGGTTGTAGACGTTAACACTAGTAATATTGAAATTATTACAGTTAATGTTAATAGTGATAGTAATATTGAAGCTGCACCTTGACAGAATTATCTCAATACGAGAAATATTTTCATAATTTTAAATGGATAAATTAAGATTAATGTTAATATTAATAAATGTAAAATAATTAATAACTGATAATCGATAATCACACTGGTAGATTAATTTACTTTTACAATAATTAGTATTGTATGTATTGTATGCATACTCCCCGTATATCCTGTGTAACCGATTTGTAGAGAACTATTTACTAATGACTGATCGAATTGATAGCGATTTCTACATTTGGACATTGTTTATTACATATACCCACTGGATGGCCTAGAGAAATTGATGCATTCACTTGACAAATCCGATATATTCATCATTATCATTATTAAAAACAATTCCTGGTAAAACTACTATCTCTTTAGTCCTTCCATGCACTTTATATTTTTTCACTAGATGCTCTACTACTTGGATATGATTAATCGGATTATCTGAAGAATTTAAAAACAGAATATTCGCATGTGTTACGAATTTACTTGTATGTATTAATTAGTCGAAAGTACTACTAATGCTCGCATCAAATTTGACAGATTTATTCCAGAAAAAAATTAGGAAGTTATTAAAAAAATCTCACGTTTATCAACTAAATCACCGCAATGGAATTAATTATTCTTTTTTAGTCATTACGACCGACTGATGTCTCCTGCCACATCATATTATTATTTTTTCTTTAATGCTTATAAAAAAATTTTCCATCCTCTCAACCACTTATTAAGTTTATAAAGGTAATCAATATCAGTTTTTAATAACTATAGTTTTATATAGAGAACCTCTATCAATATGAATATCAAAAATATATTTTAAAAAATATTGGTTACACGTATCGGAATTTCTATTATTTATAATATATGTTTAATGCCGATCGAAATCGAAAACGAGCAAATTTTTGCCCTTACAGCAGAACACCAATCATTATTATTTACATTGTTTAAAATTTGGATTTATTATGTGGAGATATTTTATTATATATTGTATGTCCCAATAATTTGGTAAATAGTTAGTTGATGAGTTAAAAAAAATAAAAAAATACTAAAAGCTTATAGAAACTTCTATGTTTAAAATGATTTTAAAAATAATATATTTTTTTCACATGGAACACAAATAGGTTACATCTTAATTACATCATCTGAAGTTTATTTCCTGAAGTTCTAGAAACTCGTATTTAATTAAACTAATATTATACAATGAATTTATTTTTAAGGAAAATATTCGGACAATGTAATTAACGCAATTGACAACAATCGGACAATTAAATTAATAATAAATTTAACAGTTAATTAAATAATTAAATTTAATAATTATTTTTGTCTTTTATTGAAGGTTTCTTCTGTGTATTATAGAATTATTCTTGGGCACATAAAAAATTCAGGGAAAAAATATATTTTTAAAAACCTGATTATCAACTTGTTTGGTTGGGTACCAATTATATTTATGATAAAGTGATGCGACATATATTGTATGTGTGATATTCATTAAACTAAAAGAAGCATCGGGTGGTTTTTTCTTGAATAGGTTCTTGAAGTTTCTTATCATGCATGCATGATAGTTGTTTTAATTTGGTCATATTCGGTAGTGTGTTTGTTAGCTAGGATTATGTATGTATAATGAATATTGTATAGATGATTCGATGTTAATGCAGTTCTCCCAAGAATTAATTAATTAAAATTTGAATAATAACAACAACAACAATAATGTGAATTTGCATAAATGAAACCTTAATTATGTAGTAGATCGATTAGATGATTATGGTCCGTGTTAGAGAACTATTTTTTTTTTTGATAATTGATAATGGCTGATCGTTGATCGACTATGTTAATGATATGTTTACGGAGATAGATAATGAATCAAATCAAATGAATGACTGTTGGTGCTAAATTTATGTTAAATCGTCAAATCTATCCTAAATCATCCCGGCGAATCATATACCAAGTCTATGCCAAATTGTTTGTTGATTTTATATTTTCGTTTTTTTTTTTTTAATATTTTAATATTTTCCAATATTTATCTTTGATGTTTTTATCAGATATGCAATGAATCAATAATAAAATAATGAATGAATTTTAAAATATGCCCTAATGGAACGGGAACTCTAACAACTGGTTAATCAATCAATAATTGACATAATGTAATTAATTAATTACATAATAAATAAAAACATATAACATAATAATTATTGATTGTTATTGTGATAAAATTAATTTCTATAACATAAATATCATATTTTATTAAATTATAGATGTCGAGTTTAGTAAAGTCTCATTTTGATGAATTCGTATTTAAATATTTCCAAAAAATCCTTTTTTCCTTTTCTTTTATTTTCTTTTTATTTTTTCTTTTTTAAACGCTTTTTTTTTACAAGGTAAATTTTCCTTCATTAATTATTATTAATTATTTAAACCAACATTTATTATTAAAAAATAGCAAAACTATGTGTTGCTTTCATCCTATTTGACAAAAGTGGATATGAATCTCCATCTGGTCACGTGACATTTCATATACTTTATCGTATTTGGAAATTTTTCTTTTATTAGACCGATTTATATGCAGTTTTATACCAATAATACAATGAAATTTTCGTTTGGAAATGTCAAAAAATAAGAATATACGTGAAAAATACAAAATTCAAATTTTATATATATGTCGAAATCGATTGATTGATTTATTTTATTTTATTTATTTACGAACAAAAAAAAATTATAAATATTAATCTATTTATTATTGTTGTTGTTATTTAACATTAAACATAATAGGAAATAAATTTTCATATATACAGTTAATTTTATTTATTCAATCTTCTTCACACATTATGACTACCAACTATACTTTTGTAAGTCACGTTACACCAATATCACCAACATCACCTAATCCTTCTCACAATTCATTACATCCAAGTCAAATAGGTATAACTATAATAAATATATGTGTATATATGTGTGTATATGATATGATATGTGTATATATATATATATGTGACGTTTTTTAATTGTTTTATTTCTATTTTTACTAGAACAAATTTATAATCAAATCCTAATTTATAATGCGTTGGATGGTTTGGTCAGTTCGATGACTATCATGGAACCTTCTATTGTTCCAAGTAACGACACCAGCATGTCACCACGTAAGAGAAGAAGAAAAAGCAAAAACGACGATAACAGAATTGAGTTGAACAGATCTGAAATTTCAGAAATCTTGAGCAACATAAACATCAATATTCACGGTGACTTTGATTCCGTGTTGGCTGATTGGAGAGCGTGTGACTATAAAGCTGGTCGTAGAGTTGTGCAATTCCGTCGGTGTGTCTATCAACAAGACGTGGATGTCTTCTTTGAAGTCGTGAGTCAAAACCAACGTAACAGAAATGGAATCTTTGTGTCGTGTGTTTGGTGCGAGGAACTAAAAGAGTTTTATGTGACGTCGGTTGATTGTATCTACTTGATCGAATGTGTGACGGGTATCAAGTTCACTCAAGAAGAAAAAAATAGAGTCAGAAGGAATTTGGAAATCTTCAAACCGATAACAGTTGGCAAAAACAAAAAAGGCGATAATCTATACAGGAAATTAATGAGATTTGACAATCCAAAGCCAAGAAACATCAAAAAAGATGTCAAAGTGTTCGCTTGGTCATCTTTAAAAATGGCAGTAGAAAAAATAATAAAAAAATATTCTGCAATTTAAAAATAATTTTTTTATTATAAATTTTTTAATTTATTATTATTATTAATTAATATTAATTATTATTATCTTTATTATCTAATATTTTTCTTTAATATTTATTACTATTAATATTATTATTACTTGCCATCATCATCACTATTATTATTATTATTATTATTATTATTATTATTATTATTATTACTTACCATCATCATTATTATAATTTGTTATTACTGCTATTATTATCAAATAAAATAAAAAATTTATCGTGACGTCTATCATAACGTGACTGCAACAGCATAATTTTTACGCGATTATAGTAAAAGGCAATTATGAAATCATATATATAATTTTTTGTTTTTTTTTTTATTTAAAAAATGAATGTATATATATTAAAAAATAAGCTTTGAAAATAGAAATAAAAACATTTGCAAAGAAAATAAAAATATAATGTTATATAATGATTATGATTATTATTATGAAAATCAAAAAAATTATTTACAAAAAAAAAAAAATATAATTCTAAAAAATAATAATAATCATTAATACATAAAAAGATTTTTTTTTTTTGTTTTTATTTAGATGAGGGTTTTTGTCTAATGACTATGATTTGGTATCAACGCTAGTGTGTTGTTGTTGGCAATGATTATGAAAATTATGGTGGTGAAAATTAATTTTTTCGAATCCTCCACGAAAACAATATATAATAGTTCATTCATTTCATTAGTCAGTCAAAAATATATAATATACACTCTAATTTTGAGGGGTTTTTAAAAAGTAAAAGAAAAAAAAAGGAAGAATTGGATTTATAAATGATAATAGTAATAGTATATATATATATATATTAATAAAAACGAATTGAATAAAACGAAGGGAGAAAAAGGTGTATAATCCTTTCTTCCTTGATTTATCTATCATTAAGACGCGTATATATATTTGTTCTTCTTATATATGATATGTGGTCTAAATGTTGCCAAATAGTACCACTGATAAATATTCAGCAAGCTGCCATTTAGAAGGTGGTTTAAATTTATCCATTATATATTGTTGTAAGCAAAAGAAATTAAGTTGATCTTGAATGAGACTTGTCCATCTTAAATACACTGGTTCTGGAGATGCAAATATTTCACTATTCCTATTACTATTTATGATATCATTACTACTGACACTAGTAGCACTGCTACTGCTACTAATGCTACTGCTACTGATACTACTGCTACTGATACTACTGATACTACTGCTACTATTACCATTATTATTATTATCACCGCCACTACTGCTATTATTGTCTGTAATATTATTTGTGGTGGTGGTGGTGGTGGTGGTAGAAGTGTCTGTAATATTGTTGTCCGTGATGTCAATGATATTGTTACTTGTGATTTTATGATATGTAATTTCATTGTCTGTGGTGGTGGTAACGTCTGTAATATTATTGTCAGTAATATTATATTTAATTTTATTTTCCGTAATTTTATGGGTGAAGGTGTCAGCAGTGTCTATTGTATTATCAACACTACTACTACTGCTGCTGCTGCTGCTGCTGCTACTACTAATAGCACTATCGTTATCATTATTATCAATAACATCTATACTATCATTTCTAGCACTATTTGTACCATCATTATCATCATTATTATCAATAATATCGTCACCATCATCATCATCATCATCATCATTGTCATCATCATCATCAAAATTATTGCTATTATTACTAGAAGACGAAGTTTTTATGGTGGAAACAGCCGCTATATCAGTTCTTAATTTTCTAGTAAAATCTTCAAACGCTATTGCTTCAAATTCTTGATCAGCTTGAACAGTTGACACCATTATTGAATCGATTCCTCGATCCATCTGGCCACGATAAAACTGCACCCAACCCAAATCCTCAAGATACTGCTCGACATCATCTGCCACTTTTTGTAATTTGTCCCAATCATGACTATAATAATAATTGACGGCCAACATGTTATGTAGAAATAAACTAAATCTTTCCACTATGTGTAAAACTCGTTTTTGACGACGTAAAGCTCTTTTTGGACCTGGTGGATCTGCTGACAAACCTGGTGGTTCGGGTGGAGCATTGATGGTAATAAGACTTTTTGCATACTCTGTCTCCAATGGGAATTTCCATTCATTTGCAACTTTCAAAAGATCTTCTTCTGGTATATCACGACTATATCTCTTAAACCATAGTTGCGCAGTGATCGTATGTGGTCCTGATAAAGCTTTAAATAAACGATTTACCGATGATAAGTGGCGTAGATCTTTAGCATTATCAACAGAAAAAATTATTAAATATAAAATCTCTATTGGTAAATCTGTTAATTTTAACGACATATGATGATGTTGACGTTGTTGATGTTGATGATGATGTTGTTGTTGTTTTTGTTTTTGTTGTTGTTGTTGAATTAGTTGAGCCATCTTTTTTTCTAAAAAAAAAATACAAAATTATATGATGACCCTTGATATATTTATTAATTTGTTATACTATAAAAAAATAGTAAACTTTGAATCCCTCAAATAGGTAAAGTTGGATGTATATTTTCGTTTCGTTATAAAATATAATCTTTGTTTTGTATAGATGGACAATCTCAAAAAAATTAAGTGTTGTTTGTGATATGTTTAGGTAGTTAGTTATTTTAATGGAATATAAAAAAAAGAAGGTAGAGGATTAAGAAAAATATATTTAAATATTTTAATATAAATATATTTGTTTGTATTAGAGATGAATTTGGTAGATTGATGATGATAGTATGACTTATAAAGGGAGGAAAAAATTAAATGACTTTGAAAAAAAAAAATAATAATAAAAATAAATATTTATATATACTAATACATAAATATATACATATCTAAAAAAAGTAGTTGATCGGCAAAATAGATAAATTATCCATAACATATAAAAAATGTTCCTTTAATCCCATCTTGAAAATATGTAAAGTTTGGTCATCGGTTTAGAATTGATACAAACATAAACATGAAAAAGATTTATTCTACATAATATGTCATGAAACAGAATTAGAAAATGATTCTTTCCTATCAACAGAGCTAATTATCTAACTAAACACAAAGTCAAGTGCAGGTTGTGTGCACCACACCAATTATCGTTCTTCTTGAGAAATGTTGAAACATGTGTAAAACCAAAAAAAAGAACCTCTTAAAATAGTTTTGTGCTCATGTGATAATAAAGACACATGGTTTAATTTGCACGAATCATTATGATGACATCGTTAAAAAAGAACTTTCTATTGAAATTTTTTATTTTTTTAAAAAAAAATGACAAACAAACGTATATGCAAAATTTATAAATGTTGACACACCATAATGATGGCGAAGAGGAGGAAGGAAGCTTTGATTGTGGCAATGATTATGATGATAGTATATTAAATGAAACTTCAATATATATAACATACAGTACCTTAGCAAAAGGTTCGGTCACCCTAAACACATCATTTACACAAAAACTACATAATAATTGTACAAAAAAATTATATCAACTTGTGGCATATGTTTTGGAGATCCTGCATATAAAGTTCATATTTATAAATTTTCCAGAACTTAAACAGTAAAAAATAAAAAAGTTGATCATTTTTGAAAAAATAAAAATTCGCGATAAGTTTTTTAATCTTTTCTCTAAAGCTTACATGATAACATTTTTACATCTGATAAATTAAGATCATCTGATTTTCAGGAAAAAAATTTTTTACATGATTTTGAATACTTTTTTTTTAAACGAATTTATTAAATATTTTGGTAAATTTTAAAAATTAATTTAAATCAAGTTGAGCGTGGACAAATTATTGGTCTCTATAAAGATGGAAATTCAAAAGTCAAAATTAGCAAAATTCTTGGTTTTTCTGGAAGGATGGCCAAGACAATCTCCTGACCTAAATCCAATCGAACATTTGTGGAATGAACTAGAGACTCATTTTCGAAAAAAACCTAGCCAGCAAAAAACTTAAAGGAGTTAGAGGAACTTTTAATTGAAGAATGGGATAAAATTCCAGAAGATGTGTACATGAAATTAATCGAAAGCATGCCTCGTAGAATTGAGGCATGTATTGCAAGTAATGGATGGCCCGCGAAATGTTAAATTAATAAGAGGTTTAGATCTGTTTAAAATTTACGCGTTAATAAAATTGATCCTCAAAATTAATTTTATTTTTCAAAAATAATCTCTGGAAAATCTAGAAATATGGAATTTATATGCAGGATCTCCAGAACATATGCCACAAGTTGATTTTTTTTTTTTTTGTACAATTATTATGTATGTTTTTGTGTAAATGATGTATTTAGGGCGACCGAAACTTTTGCTAAGGTAGTGTATATATACACGTTTATTTATTAACAAAATTTTCATCTCTATTATTCCTACATCGCCACAACAAAACACTACTATTATTACCACCCTCACCAATGATAACAATAATAACTTATTATTTAAAAAATTTAATTTGTTTATATATTATATATGTGGTTCGCGTGGTCTAGAGACTCCTGTTGCTGCGCTACGCGAACAGTTTCACATACACGTGATCTTAATAAAGAAATTTGTGATTCGTGCAACAACAATATTTAAAATAATGTTACTGCTGAATAATTGTAGGTAGGAAGAATGGAATGGGTTGACAGCAATTCTTTCTAAACGTTCATATTTCACCACCAAAGAAATAGTCAATTTAGAGATCTCTGAGACCATGTTGTTGTTTATTATCCATAAAATACTAAATAAAAGTATTGAAATTTAAACAATATATTTTGTCATTGAAGTAAAAAAAAAAACATTTTTAATGAAAGATATTGTCTCCACAATTGATTTTACCTAAAAATAAAACATGATTTCTACAAACAGGCACTTTAATTATTGTAAAAATACAAGAGTTATTTGTATTGATGCCTTTTTTCTTTTTTATAAATATCTCATTATAATGTAATCAAACATGGAGCAAGATTGCCTAAAAAATGATTTCCTGTACCCTGTACTTTTCCGGTGTCCCATTATTAATAATAAACAATTACAAGAAAGTGTCAAAGGTAACACAACTATCGAAAATGGCACCTAGGAAACTTGAAAACACTAATGATGAAACCATTCAATATGCAACATTGGATTATCGGAAATTTACAAATGTTGAAGTACATTACTTCAAATGTTTAAAAATTACAGTCATTCTCACATTCATCATGTACACGAGGTTACACTGACCTGGTTCCCTGATGATATAATGATAAACTGGATTTTCAGGGTGAATGCATGGGCCTGAAGTTTATCGAAACTGCATCATTGTCAAGGACACTTGCGTGAATCCTAATATTCACTCGCAGACCTGGATACGAGTATGTTAGCCAAAAAGTTCCCAGCAACAGTTCTATTTTTAGGGTAAAGATGGCTCTGCGAATAAGAATCTGAAAAATCAAGCCCAGGAGGTTGCAATTCAGGTGAGGTCTGGTTCGAGAGAAAGTCAACGAAGCCTTTCGCTTGTCCAAAACCTTCCAACTTGTCCAGACCCTTTTACCTGTGAAAAAAATTCCATGGTGCTTAATCGCACAATATATGCATGTTTGTGGCAGAAAATTTTTTTTTTAAATAATATTATTATTGTGCATGAATTGTAAAGATTGGCACCGCCTAAAAATTCTTTAATATTAACCGGTTAAACGGTTAATGGTACCAATCTCTAATACCAATAAGAAGATCTCATTAAGGTAAAATTACAGGGATTAAAATTTATGCAATAGATATCCCTGTTTGATTGTAAAAAATGTTAAAGTGAAATAAATACACTTCTCGATGGTTTCCACATTAACTTGTCAAGTAAATTCACTCAAAGTTTTGAAATAGACTTTTGATTTTCTGTCTTGGTAACTGAACTACCGTGGCAAGTTCTACTTTGGATTAATTTTTCCCTCGTCTAGTTACTTTTGTGATACAGGATTAGATTAACTGTTCTTTTTATACTTTACATTTTAACATTTGAAAAACAATTATCAGAAAAAAAATATATTTGAAAATAAAATAAGAGAAAAATATTTATATTATTATTTTTATATTATTGTCAATCTATTATTATCAATCTATTATTATTTATAATTTTTTTTTTTAAAAAGTGTAATTTTTTAGGGTTTCTACCAATTTTTCTTTGAGGTTGTGGTTTTTACCTATATAAACTCTAGCTATATAATCGGAGACAAAACGTTGAGGAGAATTCCTTGCTATTTTTAATACTAAGTCCGGATAGGATTCTGAAAATTTTATAAAACATTTAAGGTTTTTATAACGACTATCTGAAATGCTTCTATTAATTTCTTCAAATAATATTATCCTTGCATTCTCAACCTCTTCATCTGTGGTATTTTCTCCCAACATTTTTTTTATCTCGCTGTCGCTTAGAAAATCTTTAACTCCTCTTTGAAACAACATTCTTTCCCATTTACCTTCAATTGCCAGCCTTCTTAACCTCTCCAAATCTTTCTGAGGTAATTTGGACCTAATCAATTTATCATCATTATTGGTAATAATTGGTGTGAGACCGATCGCCAATTCGATCAGCCTATCTTTTTTCTCTTTTGGAAGTGTCAACTTTTTACCCTCATAAAAGTTTCCATTAAAAATCCATTTTGAGAGCAATTCACTAGCTTCGCTATTGCCCAGTTTTTGTGTAGCAGTTGAATATCTTTTGTGATAATATTTCCTTGAATGATGGTTTAGAAATTTTATCCGACTAATATTGTGGGTATCTTCCTTATAATTTAATATAGTTTCTCCTCTGTTTTTTATTACTTCAATTATAACATCTTTAACCATTGATTCAAGTTCACCAATTGATGGAGCAAGTCGACACATGTTTTCAGAAGCTTTTATTATTCTATTTTTATTAATGGCATTCAAACCAATGTTAGCTATTTGTGATAAAATTTTACCGACAATGGGAATAAACAAAATTAGACAGAGCCCAACATCTGCAAAAATAAAAATTTCGCTTTTATTTAGTTTTACACCGTCATGTAAAACTGTTTGAGCAAAATTGTAAGCTCTGGTAAAAGTATGCATAAAGCCGTCGTAATATCCATATAGTTCCATATTTACTTCGATCTCTGACATTGAAGGATAATTGTCCACAGTAGCTTGTTTTTCCTCTTCGCTATTTAATTCGGATTCAGCTTTAGAATTATTAATGGGGAGTCCAGGAGGTTTATGGCTGTTGACTGCGCCAAGACATGGAGATTCTGTTTCAATATTTGTTGGATTTGTTGTTTCAATTGGGATTGATTCACCTATTTGACCCTCTGAATTCTTCCCAACCACATTTTCTGAATGATCAGGATAACTATTGTTTTGTTTTACTTTGGTAGAAATTTTACCAAATGTATTTGCATTATCTAAAAGCTTTGATGTTTGCTTGTTCTCGCCTGATATTTCCTTTTTAGCGGAATTTAATTTTATATAATCTCCTCCACATTTTATAGCTTCTTCGATCGAGCTCAATGCTTCTTCACGTTCACCTGCGTTTTTTTGAGAAATAGCTTTGTGATAATAAAGATCAGACAGGTGATTATTTTCATAGTCTTGTTCTTTGCCCAATTCTATTGCCTTATCAAAAAAATCTATAGCATCTTTGAATTCTCTTGCTGCTTTTAACTCTTTCCCTCCCATTTCATAATACTTGGCTGCACTTTCAAAGTCCGCTAAAGAACTATCAAAACCTGACTTATCTGGTTCATGTAAGAGGGAACATAAACTTCTATAAGTATTTATCTTATCAGTAGTTGTTTCTAAGCTGGATATATATTTATGTCTTGCTGATAGAAAATCAATTTTAGTTTTGACTTTGTTGTGATGATAGTTTTCTGTTACCTCGGAAAAATTTTGAGTTTGGTGCCTTGCGTTACTTCTTTTGGACTCCATATTATTTTATTTGTGTCGAATAATAATATTGGATCTTAGAGTTTAAGAAAGTTGTCAATTGAACAAAAATTTATTTAAAATTTACTATAAATAATTTTTCCAGTGAATGAAAATTTTTTGATGATTAACATTATGAAACAATTGATCGTCAGGAGACGAATGCGTGTATGAAAGGTTATTTTACAATAAGCAAATGAAAATTCTATTATAATGAGTTTATCATAGGACTTTGCAAATGATGGATGTACTAGCTATTCAAGTGTGTCAAGATAAATCATAACCAATTAATATTAATGATTGAAATGATCGACTTCGTTTTATTAAGGCGTGCGTAAGGAGATCATGAGATCCAAAATTGACCATTATTTTTTAAAAATTATAGTAATTTTATGGATGATTTAAAAGAAAACTGATCAAGAATTAAAACCAATCCAATTTCATATGTTGATTATCACGCAATTGCCGCAACAAGTTGTTTCATTTGATCGGTAAAGTGTGGAGACCCCTCTATCGGCCCTCATTTTACTATATATATATGTATATAGAGTAAAGAAAATTCCAACGCATTCAGACAGGGGAAGTTGTACAAAATAGGCTTATCCTATTTTACCTCGCCGGGTGGATATTTACCCGGATGATTTTAGGTGGAAAATTCGAATTGATTTCAAATCGGGTAAATAATTATTAACCTCATAAAAAATTTTATAACAACAATGTTTTTTGCTATAAAGAAAACAAAAAAGATCCAATTATAATAAATTTTTATTCTTATCAACAATTCACTTTGTGTTTGTAAATATCAATAATTTTTTTATTTAGTAAAAATATAAGCCTAGTTTTTTTCAATAATCAAATTAATGAATAACTTTTGGTGTTTGCATAAAACTTATAAACTAATTTGTTTTCAAATAGTCTTTACTCATTTGCTTTTTGTCTCATATTTGCCAACATTGATTTCTTTGATTATTTGAACAATAATAAAAGTAATAATCAAAAAATAAATATCAAAAACAATAATTGAATGTCATCCATTTTATTTTATCATCAATAATATTTATCAAGTAAATTATATAATAATAAGGAACACAACAATATCTATTGTGGGGAAATTTCTATTTGCTTCCAGTTAGTTAATCATACACAAGTATTATGCAAAGATCACTTACAAAAAAAAAATTTTTCTTTAAACTAAACTAACTAACTTGGAAATAAAAGTTTTTATGTTGAAAGCAACAGACTTTGATCTGAAAACAATTCACAAGGAACCTCTGTTGTTTGCTTCAGTGCCCCCTGTACATTTTGTCTTTGGATTTTGACTTTTAAAAGTGGATTGGATGTTAATGTCGTAAATGAATATAAAGATTAAAAATTGATTGAATCAAAAAGGCTTAAAAGAAATGTAAAGGCCCTTGATTGATATTATGTGTACATTTATTTTTTTTATTTTAACACAAATAAAGATTGAATGCTCGTCGTGTCACTATTGCTTGCCAAAACTCGTTGCAGATTTTTGAAATCGTTTCCATATTTTAATTAGATCTGCAGTTTTTTTTTTATTCTGGCATATTAGAGTCGTACGGTAAAGGTTTAATTTCTTATAAACTTGTAGAGAAGAGAGGAGAAGAGAAGAGAGGGAGGAGGGAGCGTAGTCCATTTATATTGATAGGTTTGTGATCTGTGAAACCTGTTTACTTTTTTTCCATTACCATAAATTAATTTCAAAATTTGAATAAATAATTTACATGTATTAGAATGTTAGAAATTTCACATGTATCTAATTATTATTATTATCCATTTTTTTGTGCACTGGTACACTTATCAAAAACATCAAGAATCATCGGACAAGAAAAACCAAAATTACAATTTTTTTTAATAATAATAATTTTAATTGGCCGGAAATTACTTAACAACTAACTTTTAAACTAATTGTTGTGAAAATTGACAATAAAACATAATTTTGGACCTTCTGAGCATTTTTTTTTTTTTTTTTTATGGCAAGAAAACATGTTTTTGCATTGGTTTTTAATGCAAAATTTTAAGTTCCAACCAACAAATGCACCTCAATTTGAGATCTACATTTATCCGTTGATTTTGATTCAGGCGCATGAGATCATGGCTGTGAACCAATCAACATGCATCAGGAAGTTAAGCGCACGTGATTCAATGTCATGTGCTGATTAACATAAAATCACGTTGTTCAGCAAAGGCAACATCAAACAATACGGTAAAACACCAATGTGGACCAATGCGTAGAACAATGCATTAATGTAAATTATTAGATAAAACAACATGTAAATCAATGTGTAGAATGCATAGCATTGTATTATTTATTTATTATATAACATGTAGTATATATTATTTTTTTAAATAATGCTTATAGTAATAAAATATAAAATTAAAACAAGAATTGCAATGTTTATTAAATACTGACACATAAAAATAAACAATTATTTGTTTGAGCGAAGGAATAAGAACCGGTAACAAAATTTTAACCCAATTGTTGATTGACCAATCAAAATTGTGAATTTGATAACGTAAAAATAAATTCATTTTGTCAACAATCACTTCACCAACAGTTGTTTCGTTAAAAAATGGTTCGAATTTAATAAGTTGGAAGCAACCATGCAACAAACCTTTGAAATAGTCTAATAAATTAAATTGTATTACTCAAAAATGTATTTAAAGGGTTGGGTTTCGACTTGGTCGAAGAATAATTCTCTTCCTAACTCTTCTCTTGACCATATCTCTCGAAATAACCTTAATATAATGAATGTCGACGAAATGGTTGTAAACACAACCAATTAAGTTATACGATTAAGACAAGACATGAATGATGTATGAAAAAATCCAACAAATTATTTAATAAAAATAAAATTTACAACCTGTTTTTTTTTGCATGTTCTAATAAAATTTACATCGCTTCTGCATCATCTATTGCTGATTCAACGTTACCCAGATCATCATCAACTGTATTTTTGTACTTTTGATATTTTCAATATTTTCGATAAACTCATTTTCATTTAATCTTTTCGTCATACTTTCTTTTAATGCGTTGACATTTTTTTTTGATTTCGACTTGAAGATAGTCCAAGATATCAAACATTTAGATCGGCACCTTTGTAGACAATGATTGTGATAACCATGTCCACACGTGAATATATACACTACAATTATTCAAATTAGTATTAGTATAGTTAGTGTAATCACAATATATGTAATTGCAAAAAATGTTTGTAGATGGTTTCCTAGAAGTAACAAAGCCTCTTGGAAGGTGACGATCGGTTATTTTGTAAACTAAAGAATGCAATTAACACCATTAGATGAAGTTTTAGTAAACAAAGGGATAAATTTATTATTTATCAAAAAAATATATAAAGTATATAAATATGATTGATTTTGGACTGAGATTGATGTATCAAAAAAAATTAATTTAACAATATTATTTTGAGTCGTTTAAATTGACTACTACTTTGTGATCGATTCAATCATTAACACCAAAGAAACAAAATTAATTATTTCGCAATAAAAGCTATTTGTTTGTTTATTTATTGTTGTTTTTTGATTTTAATATCAATGCATGGTTTCTATTCGTAATACAAATTTGCTTTATTCGCTTTTATTCGTTTTTATTCATTTCATTAGAATTATTATTATTCGCTCAAATTATTCATTTTATTTGAATAGCAACCCTAACTACTACTCAAGATTATGTTATTATTTTAGACTGTATGATAAAAATACTAAATATTATTAACTTATCAGTATACCAATACCTTTAAAGAATATTGACCAGATATCAGATTCCGATATCTGACTGATATTTCACTGATACCCCATTACCCAATTTGGCATCATTCGATCAGTAAAAAAAGAACCAATAGATTTTATATAAGCAAAGAAAGATGGGAATCTAAATTAGCACAAAAGAATTTTAAATCATAAAAACCTGATAGCTTAGTGGTATATTTTAAATATAATT